ACGTAATTGACACATTTGTAAAGACGCATACCTTGTCATATACTGTTTAACTGACACATACCCGTTTCATATATGATGCATGAGCAAAACACATATCCTGTTATATACTGTTTAATTGAATCCATTAGCCGGGACGCATACATTTTCATTTGTATAACTGATCTGAACTGATCCATTATCGCATACTTTGTCATACACATGTACACAGTTTAATTGAACAATTAACAAAAACGCATACCCAGTCATATACTCTGTAACTGATTAACTGGTACATTAGTCGTTACGCATTACCTGTCATACATAACTGATCGATGACTGCATGCTGATATTTTTTTCGTTTACGATTCCATTAATCATTCTCAATATAATATGCATAGTGAGATGATTGAATAACCGAGAGGAAAACAAGCAGCATCGATTTGTAACTTAAGTAACCACGAAACTAGCAAGTGTTTGCTTGTTTAATTTTAGAATTTTTCATTGAATTTAGTAAGCAGAGCAGTCAGCGTAATATCTCTAACGATTGTTTTATATTTAGTGTAGGGGATATCATCAACCTCATTTCATATTATTTAGGAAAACGATATCAATTTTGAGTGCATTGTTGTAGACTAACGCACTATTCGAGTTTAAATGCACAAGAATATAATCACGAAGGCCGATAGGGGAAAGGGGAAATTTAAGTCTTGCTTTTGTGTATTTTTCTTTTGTTTGTTTTATGTTTTAACAAAATCTCACTGTTTTCAAATTTTCTAGCAAAAATAGCTTTCTGATGTACAACATGTCACTGAGCTTTAAGGAATTAAAATAAACGTTTAACTGAAGTGATAGTGCCTTGTTTGAGTATCATATTAGACGACGATATATACAATTGACAAGATTTGAACAGTCCTATCTGTACACCGCCTGCCTTTAGCCAATCAAAGCGAATAATTCAGTATCACGTGATAAAAAATGGACGTCAAAAACTTCAATGAGGGGTGCTAAAATGGACTCGCCATACCGCCATGTTTTGTCAGGTTACTTATTCGTTCAACTGTAAAATACCATTATCAATGTACGAACTCAATACCAGTCTTTAGTCTCCTGCAGGATTAACACAGCAAATTGCAATATTTTTGCTACATTCTCATTTCTGATTAGAGAATATAGTGTAAAAAAGAGTATATTTTGTTTTCTTTCCAAAACTTGCACTTAAAGTAAAAAAACAACTTTATAATTGCTTTCTTCCGGGCGAGTTATATACAACGTTGTTATTGCATCATTATCGCATAAAGCAGGTCAGCAGAAAGAAAAAAAAACTTCGCAAAGCAGTCGACGGAGTATATAACGTCAATTCCATTCATAGCATGTTCACAGACATCAATTTTAATGTGTAGCAAGTAACTGTTGTTAATTACACAAGAAGCTAATTCTTTTTGCCTATTGATGCACATACTTATTAAAGCTACAGTCTCACTAACATCCAGGCAGAGCCCCGGTAGAGCCCGGTAGACGTCCGGGAACGACCTGGGTACTACCGGGAACAACCGGAGTACATCTTTAAAATATGATAAACAAGATCTTAACTTAACTCTGCCGGCAACGTCCGGGATGATTTGGGAACTTCCGGCATTCGACCTCGGACGTAATAAAATATTTAATATCACTGGGATGGTCCGGGATGATCAGGGAAATATAGCTTTGCCGGCTTCATCTTTAGCTCTGCCTGGAACGATCAGGGTTACATCGGGGAAGCACCGTTGCTCTGCCGGCACAAACCAGGGATGGTCCGGGGCATGATATAGCCGGCAGAGCTACGGTAGAGCCCCGGTGAATGCTGGCAGAGCCCCGGTGAAGGTCGGCAGAGCCCCGGTGAATGCCGACAGAGCCCTGGAAGATGACGATGGAGCTACGGTTGATCCCGGTAGAGTCCCGGCAAAGCCCGGTTCATTTCAAAAGAATCACAATTTGCGATGATTTCACTTATTTTTATTAAAACCCTTCCCATTTCCCTTTTATCCAGTCTTGCATAAGGATTTTCAGAAAATCATCATGAATTACTGTTCTGGATCAATAGATAGAATAGTAAAGGAGGCAGTACACAGTTTCGGCTGTTTAGTTTCGAATTGGCCAGGGTCAAAGTTACAAATAAGAGACAGTTTTGAAATTGAAGTGGATATTTGAGGTTCTAAATGTTTATAGTTACTATATTTCAAGTTTCAATGACTAGTATTGTGTTTCAGTTATTTAGTAAAATTGAATTTAGTGGCGTTGACCCTTGTTTTTATGAGAGAGTACCTGTCGGATGCGAACGTGTGGTTTCTGGAGCTAGCCGGTGAATCAGCTCTTCAATTTAACGGGTATGCAGAAGACTTAGAATAGTGAAAAAAGTAGGTGGATGGCACCCCGTTTGGATGTTATTTTCAGATTGTGCATTGTTTAAGAAGGAAGAAACACTATAGCTTGTGATTTAATTTTTTTACGTTAATATATTGTTGTATTTTGCGAATAGAGGTAATCCGCTTATTTTGTCGTTGATTTTCGCGACCAAAACAATGAAAAACACAGGGCTGTGTGCCAGAAAACTAGAAGGTGGACATGTATTTTTAATTGTTTGCTGTGAGATACATATATATATATGTTAAATATGAAATGCATTTATTTCAGGTGTGTGATTACAGACTTGTGTGTGAGGTTTTGATTGTGGCGCAGTCAGTTGTTTGCCGAGAAGCCTTGAAAACTGTGTATTGCCCCCAAATTAAAATTATGTATCAATGTAATCATTTTTGCGCGTTTTCAATCCACCGGGGTTCTACTGTGACTCTGTCTGGATCGTCCTGGGCTCTGCCGGGACTCTGTCTGGATTGACCGGGACTCTACCTGAGTCAACCGGGCTCTTCCGGCGTCATCCGGGAACAACCGGGGAAGCACCGGCATAAACCGTAGCTTCACCTGGGCTCTGCCTCGATGGTCCGAAGCACATCCTGGGTGGTTAGTTGGGAATTACCGTAGTGCTGCCAGGGCCAGGACCGCAACAATAATTTCAACCCGGATCGTCCCGGATCATCCCGGATCGTCCCGGTAACTTATCGGTCCTGGGCTCTGCCGGGAGACCGCAGCTTATAGCGCATGTAGTCTAACTTATTGTACTACGAGTCAAGTTATTGTTATATTTTTTATGGGCAATATTGAGTATCTCATACATTCCGACCCAGCAGATTCTAACTGAGCGCGTTAAAATATTTTGACAAGGAAGGATTGGTAGAGTAAATCAAGTATGTGTGTTGGCTTTAAATGTTGACCACATACAAAAAAGTATTAGGCAATAAAGGAAATATTATTTCTATATTCATGACTGAACGGCGATTCCAAGCATTTTTGGAAATGCTTATACTTGTAATTTTTTTATCATTATCTAATTTCATCTATCTAATAAATAACGTGTCAATCAGCGGGGAACAAGGGGTATGACTAAAATACGCAACACATTTTTTTTGGCGCTACAGGCCCTACGGAAATATTTTTTACAAAACATGCAAAACGTATGCTTATTCATGAAAATAATTAACATTTAAGTAATAAAACAGATTAACTGAGTGAAAAAAGTAAGTTTGTTTTAAAATGTACCACAAATTTTTGCAATAGGTTATTTTGAATGATTCTGTGACGATTATTCTCTTTTGCCTAGAATTATTATTACATTTAGTGGTTCTATACCTAAATTCCGGGCAAATATGCAATCTTCTGTTCTTTAATCAAGTAGTTTAATCTTTTATGAATAAGTAAATAACACGTAACTAAGAATTGATTATATTTAACAATTTATTCATAACTATTATTTGATATTATAGACATAGTTTGCTATTTATATGATAACAGAACAGTTCGTCCTCGAAATCATTCGAACATAATGCAATTCGAACTAATATTTAAATGAACATATTCTCGGCGCAGGTATACCAATCATTTCATTTTAACTTCCAATTGATTTTGCTTCGACCAGACCTTTCAATCTTTGCCACAACAGACAAACATTTCAGAATTTCAAAATTGGCAATACTTTGTGAATTTATGCATTGGGTTCTCCTTTTTCATCACATAAAGTATATTAATTGGGTTGATATTTGTTATTGTTTTGTGTTTTTTGTTGTTTTTGTAGTTGTTGTTGTTGGGTTGTTTTTTTTTTTTTTTTTTTTTTTTTGGGGGGGGGGGGGGGTTGAGGGAATGTTTAGCTACGACAAATGCTGGCAGATGATTTTGACATATGAACGATACACGTCTGGTTCCAATGATATTGTGTGCTCTCTGTTACCTAGAAACGACTCCTGCAAATTGAATCGTTGTTTAACTTTAATTTACCAGATGCCTTATCTGTTTTTGAATGAAACCTAAAACGGTCCAATAAATCCTAAAACATTAACAATTGTAAGTCATTACAAGTATTTGTGATTTTTCCCCCTTCTTCATGATTAACAAAAAGTATGCTGCAATAATATTCAACTAAATGGCCAATTAATACTTAAACTTGGAACCTAATTATTGTATATAATTGCGTTTATTTTGTTAAAGATCCTGTTTGTTGTAATTTAGGTTGTATACCACATTTAAATGAAATTGTATATATATATTTTTCAAACATTGAAGAATATGTAAAATGTGTACTGCAAATATTTATATATATTATATGTAATCAAAATATATGCATTTATTTCTTATTGAAAAATTGACTTATTCTTTATAGAAAATAAATATTTTATTACCTCCCTTTATTTACATGATGTGTTAAATTCGGTAATATCTTTATAAATAATGCTTTTTGGAACTTACCTTAATTTGAGCATCATATTTATGATATAAAACCATAAAAATTGTGTTACAGGATCTTTAACCTTTTTTATAATAGCAAATTGACATTTAATCATAATGAGCACTGTAACAATTATAGTGGAGGAGAGCTGGCTTTATTACCACCATAATTGTTTTATATTTTGGATAAAATCAATTGAGACACAAGATAATGACGTTTAACAGAAATTAGTTTATTTGCTTAAAATTCTACCATATGTTTAATGTAGAATTTATACGTTAACAGCCACAATGAAGTAGAAAACAAAACACAAACACTCGACTAGTTTGTTTTCAATAAATAACCATCATACATTAATATAAACATCATTCTCACACGTGTCATACATAAACTTAACATTTCTTTTTTTATTAAACACAGTTGAATATATACCGACTGCAAAAACTTCCGCAATGCTTTGAGTTAAATACTATGTCATTTACAAAACTTAACAATGTCATAAAGACAGAGAAAATTAGTAACATATCTCAATAAATAAAAACATCATAAATCTATATAATTAAATATAGAAAGAAAAAATATATCATTTTATGTCCATTTGTAATGGGAAAAATAATGTTTAATTCTCAGCCATTCAGTAGAAGCTAAGTTAATCGTAAATGATATTTTGAATAAAATGATAAAGTTGAATTGTGGTAAAGATTAATTATGTATTTCTGCCTTAAAGACTGTCAAACTACTAAAGTTATATTTTATACATCTAGAAATGTTTGAAATGATGTTTAAAATAATATAATATAGATTTGTATATGATAAATGTTTTTTAGAAATAAAAATTAAAATCAAGTTATTGCATAATACATATATCATGTATTTCATTTTATTTTACAGTCAAACAAATAGAAAGCTGTTTGTCAGGATCAGACTCTGTCTACTATATGATGAGGTAATTAAATTATCATATATACTTATTTAATCTATCATCATTGAATGTAAGATCATATTAAAACTTTTAGAGGTATAGTTTACTGTTACATAACGTAATTTGTACTGTTAGAAAATAATTTCCTCACATTCAGCAGTAGTAGTGTCCCTTTGATAATAATATAAAACAAAAATTTGTACAAACTTTGCATAATAGTTCGGGCTAAATAAAACATCAGCAATATATACAAACAAAGTTATATATGATTAAAAATCTGAATGATAAATATTGATATCATATGCTATATATACATAATATAATTTTGTATTGGCAGTGTGCTTTATATTCACGACATATTGATGTATTATAATACAATAAGAAGCTGCAACAATATACATATATAGGTAACATCTAGACATGTACAACATTGTTGATCATTTATTATTACACTACTTAAATATTGTTTCATATATCAAAATGATAGTAATAAATGGAAATGTTAAATTTAAGGCTATATATATGACCACACTTAATATGAAAAAAATAGCAATCGTATCATAAATTCTTAAACACAAGAAAAAAACACGTTTGCAATCCAATATTTGCACATCAGATGCATTTTCATTCATTCTTTTGTTCATTTGTTATCACTGGTAATATTGCAAACGTTCTACAATCAGAAATGTGTTGTTCAAAAGTTTTTTTTTGTTTTATTTTTCATTTGGAAACAGTTTTGTATGGATATCAGTCACATTCCTAGTTTCATAGTTTGATAAAAAATTAATTTACTTAAGCCAAAATACGTACGAAATTTCCGAATATTACATCAGTTAAATATTTCTGTAATCGTTCAATTAATATGTTTAACCTTTGACAAATGCACCTTACGTTAAACAGTCGAATACCAGTTAGTATATTACACAATCATCCTAATTTAGATGATACCAGAATATATTTAGATCACAAAACTAACAAAACATTTATTAACTTCAAACGTTCATCCAGAAATTACTTTCCTGTCAGAACATATCAAGTTTTAAACACTGTTATACTATGAAATGTTTCACCTTTCAGCGGTATTTTTTGCCCGATTTAAACATAGTAACATCGCAGCACCTTCAAAAATGGAATGTGTGACAACCGTGATAGTGAGCAGAATAAATGCTTTAAGGTGATGTAATTACACCAAAATATATAAAAAGCCATTACATATGTAATCAAACATCGAATAACTGAATATAAACAATATATACACAAAAATAACACCTTCAATAATCACAAATATGACAAACTGGCAGAACAAATTGAAATCTATGTTTTTGATATTTGAATAAAGTTGAAAAATAAAATTCATGTAATATTTTGGTCGTACAAGAAAATATGTGAAAATCCAAGTTGGACTAACATTTTTGTCTTTAAAGTGAATCTTTTATTTTGCTGGACTTCGTTTTAGTAATATCCTTCATATATTATTGGTTTAGTGTGATCAATAGGGTTCTTTTAAAGAAAGAAAAGACATGAAATACCGAAAAACATTAAGTGTTAAATTATGATTTACAATTTCATTACTCAAAATAAAATATTGATAGTGTATTCACAACAATATTCAAGACTGATCAACAGTCAAACATAAATAGAAAATGCGTATTTACAAGGAATGATATATAAATGGATAAAATACACAGTTCAACAATATCAGAATTAATATATTCCAAGGCCCTGTCAACATTTTAAAAATTACAGTTACATCAATGTGATGATATGTTTTCTTGTTAGAATGTCTGTTTTGTATGTTATGAAATAATTTAGATATCTTAACAACTTAATTCTGGACCACCTCGTATCAATGTTCTTTCTCATTACTAATATAATGTTTAAAATTAAACAGACACTAATCGTAAAAACCGTGTCGTAAACGGAACTTGTTAAATAATGTGATACTTTTTTCAAGGACCAATAAGTCTGATATTCTTGTAATGTGTATGTGTATAATCGTCAATGCATAACAGATGAACTCAACCAGTCTCACGAAAACAATCTCTTTTTTATGTTTCGAAATGCAAATGTTTAACGCAAACGCGTTTATTAAGCCACCATTTGTACCTATTGTTATCATTTTTCTTTAAACAGAAAACGATTGCGACAAGAATGCACGTTTCTCTTTCAAAGTTATCCAATTAATGTATCCGACCACCGTCATTCCGTACCTTATGCATCTAATAGCAAATCAAGTTATTTTATTATTTCATTCTATATAGCTATTGAAAACTTATCTTTCATGTTTGTTCTTACTTTATTGTTTCTCCTGTCATCATCTCGTGGGTCAGATGATGTATATCTATGGCCTTTGTTTGCAAATGGAGCTTGTCTTACTTTATCTTGTGTTATATTATAATAAGCAGGCGATATTCTCGACGGAGGTTCAGGTGAACCTCTCTCGTTCCAAGTCTTTGGCGGTGGTGGTGTAGGTGACACATCGGAGAACTCTTGTGAATTCGCCCAGGCTGTTCCTGGGGAGTCACAACCTTCCGTTGTGGTACTACTATCACTTTCCTCATTGGCACTAGAACTGGATTTAGAACGCTTACCTGGCGTTTGTACTTCACCATTGGTTGACACAGCAGTATTATTTTCAGGCGAATGAATCGGTAAAGTCATATCTTTTTCTTTGGAATTAGATTTGGGAATATTTTCCTGTTTTCTTATATGTCCAAACGGGTGATTCTCTTGTTTCCTATTATATCCGAAAAGCTGATTTTCTGGTTTTTTATTTGGACCGAATGGCTGACTTTCTTGTATATCTTGTTTTCTATTGGGCCCTAACGACTGATTCTCTTGCTTTTCTTGCAATTTATTTGGACCGTATGGTTGACTATCTTGCTTTCTGTTAGGTACAATTGGTTGGTTATCTTGCTTTTTGTTAGGTACAATTGGATGGTTATCTTGCTTTTTGTTAGATCCAAATGGTTGGTTATCTTGTTTCCTGTTGATTCCAAACGGTTGATTTTCTTGTTTTCGTTTAGGGGGACCAAATGCTTGAAGTGCTGTGGCCTTTACTTTACACTTTTTAAATAGTTCAGCATTTTCTTCTTCTGTTCTCTTTGGCTTGCACTTTTTAAACAATTCAGAATTATCCTCCTCTTCACTTATATGTAAAGGTGTCAATGGCGTTCCATCTTTTGGTGGTTCGTCATCACTATCGGTATCAAGATTCAATGCAGGTGGCCTAGCGGATTTCGGACTTGGAATATTAGGATTATGATTAGCACCTACAGGTCTATCCGACGATTTTTGTATCGGAGTATGTCTTGGACTTAGATCATTCATTCTATCAGGAATCCCTTCTACATTTAGATGCTTTCCAATACTGCCACTTTTGCTACCTAGATCATTTTTATCACTTTTGTCAGAAGGGTTACTTTTTCTAGATTCATTTCTTTCATTTTGATCTGTATTTGGACTTTTCCTTCTTCTTGGGTCTTCCTCAAGAGAGACGGCTGATTTTCTTGATCTGGAATTATTCCTATCACCACCATCATTTCTAGTATAACTTTCCAAAGGATTAATGTAGAGATTTGTCTTGTCAGACGTAAGGAAACATGTCTCCGTTGTTTGAGTCTCCTAAAAGACAAAGTTTCGGTAACTTCATTACTACATTATTTGATAAATTCAACTTAATTCAATGCGGTGGGAGATATATGCGCAAGAGACATCATTCAATAAAATTGTAAAAGGGAATAAAATTTAAGAAAAAAAATAAAATGACCTAGCAAGGTCGTATAATTTTATAAAGTAATTTTTCCCCAGATGTTTTTATAACTAATTTCTGCTACTACTTTGATGAATCAATGTATCCATAATATGTAATTTTCTTTTTACATCACATTTGTACAAATGATTACAAAGTACTTAGTACTCATTGTTAAATTTGTCATAAACTTGTGAATTGACATAAAACATATTTGGTATTGCAATTAGAATATCTTTACATATACAGGCACTTGACTCATATTTCATGTTAAAGGGACTCCACTGAGGTTTTTTGACATGAGGGGACTGAAAATATTTTTTCCAGATAAATGTACCATTTGATTAAGGTTAAGACCACTAATCTTTATGCAAAATTTCAGATCATTCATTTGCGCACTTCGTTTTTCCAGAATAATTATTCAAATTGTGAAAAAATGACCCAAAATGAAAATGTTCAAACGCTTTTCACTCAAATTGAAATCGTGTTTTTATGCCTTCCTTAGCCCTAAGGAAAGCATAAAAATACGATTTTCAATTTATTTAAAAGTATATTTCTTAACTATCTTTGCATATATTCCTGTATAAAGTGCCCCAGCTTATTTACGTAAAGAAATTCAAATGTTATGTTTTTATGTTTTAAAACCTCAGTGGAGTCCCTTTAAATACGTGATTTTAAAACTTGTTTTTGCACAATGATATATTTTAAACATTCATCAAAAAGATGAAATGTTTAGCAAAATATATAGTTAGAAACAAAAATCCCTTTCAAACTTTTTAAATGATTTTTTCTCCGCGAAACATATCAAATCTTTCTGTTTAAAAGTGTTTAGTATGAACGACTTTTGAAATAGTAACAGTCTCCTTGAGAAAATATTTACCTTATGTATCAGAACACCGTTCATTTTCTTCGTGAGTCCATCTATATCATCACAGCCAATAAGTGGTCTATAAACCTGTGGAATGTTGTCTTCTATGTTGCCATTTGCCCTCTGACGCCGCCGGCGATGGAATTGGTCCCGGCGTCGCCTAAAATACACAATGGTCATAGTATTAGTCTTTTTTAATGTTTTATGTATATCATATATAAGTCATTTAGATTCTTATAATAGCTAAGAAGTAATGTATATATATGCGAGCGTATGGATATCATTATTTCTAGTAACCAAACTCAAATTTAAGCCAGTGAAATAAATGACATACAAAGACAAGCATTCCAATGCCATCATCCAGTACTAGGTTTAGTCAAACAAACATATAACAATTTATTACTGCTGTGTAAGTCTATCCGAATGTATCGCTTCACATACATGTAAGCGCTTTTTTCTTTAAATATCATATCATGTAACTAGAAACTTTCATTTTTCCATCATGTCACATTTTCATTTTTGTTGTCTCTATCAGTGTAATGATACCTTCAGTGTGCGGATGTTTCTAAATTCAAAATTTTACCATTTAATGTTTAAATGTTGAATTCTGCTTAAGCCGGTGCTAGGGGGCGTGGACGGTACTTTGCACTTGACAGTACCGTCCATGATCAGGCTAAATCAAACCGAGCCTGCAACATTTTCAATTTTGACGTGTTGGGCTTTCTTTAGGGATTCTTATTTTCTCTATCTTTTTTTAAATATATCATTTTGAATCATAAAAGTTTTATATTCTATATTTAACATTGTCTCACAATATACACCTACATGTGTTTGATATTTAACAAGTGAACAACAAATAACGTTTAAGTGTAATCAGTGGTCTTATTTCTTTCAGTAAGTATCAAATTTGAGACATTTTGAAAATGTGACTGCACAATGGCAATGACTATTTAATAGGGATGTCACTAAATAATTGGACATATACAATTCTTAAAATTGATCATTTTAACAAAATTTACATTTATTTACAAACTAAGTTCTCGACTTGTTGATAAACTATAATAATGTACGCATTTAGTTGAGAATATCATCAGTAAAATTTACTGTCAGGGTGGCAGACATTATTTCTTGAAGTGAAGCCTGGAGAAAAATGTGATTACGGGAATATTTATAATATATAAACTGATTTCCAGACTTCCTCAATGCACTGATTACCTAGGATATAAATACCTATATATACGTAAACACTGGAGAGAATCTTGAACTGACATTTCATAAAATTGGAATAGATATGATAAAACGAGTAAAACATAGATATGAAAGAGTAAAAGGGAACGAAAAGGTGGTTATGTTGTGACTATGTCATGTTAACGTAATTTTATTATATTATAATACTTACTTTTATATTTCCATGAATATTTTATGATTATAAGTTAGGGTAACATTTATATCCATGTCTATTATAGTTATTGTAAGACAACACATTTCCAACCACGTTTTATAGTATAAATAGTCACGTGACCAAAATCATTGGTCAAATAAATCTTCTGTCTGATTGGTTACATTCAGTCCGTAAGAAAAGACCAACTGCTGTTAGTAGTCCGTATAGTAGTTCGTATAGTATATAGAAAACGAAGAAACACCGACAGTATCACCTTAACTTGATCTAGCTTCTACTTGAGACACTGTCCATAAAATACTTTCCAAACAAACATGTAGAAATAAAACTTATACTTACTTAGCGAGGAAGTATGAAGCCACACAGATTCCAATGAAGAGTAAAATGCCACTAATGATTCCTACGACGATAAATGTCCTATCTTGGGCAAGTTTATCCTCTCCTACAATAGCACATATAACATATATTCGTGGACACTGCAACAAATCAGTACATAGTGTAGTAAAGGCTATATAACAATGCCCTTATTAATTATTAATTAGTGTCATGTACTTTTTCATATTGCTAAATCTTACATCTTTATGAATAAATAATTTCTGATCTCCTAAAATGATACGAACTTTATAAAATGTTATTTTTATATCATATATGAGGACTGTCAAAATTGCAATGAAAACTATAAGAAACATTGAATACGAGGAAATCATGCTGCTTCATCAAAGAGATCACAGAAACACAAGAACATTTATTTGATTGTTGAGACGATAAGCAATTTTATGAAAATGTGGTTTATGATAAATATATGTGCTTAATACATACATGTTTTAAAGTATATTAAACTTACTCAAAGCGAAAACCAAAGAAATAAACAGTATTAATGATTTGAATGCAAACTTTGATATTCGATACGATATTGTAGGTTAATATATAAATTAAATGTTACATCATAAATTGTTCAGTGTAATTTATATATAACGTTTGAAGACAATAATATTTTATATGATCCAATATATTGTTCACACTTGCGTAAAATATAAAACACTTTATAATAAAAAAAATATGACGAATATGAAACTTTAAATATTATTCTCAAAAATCACTTTATTCAATTAAATTTAAAGATGTTCATAACTATAAAGAAACCGTTAGCAATTCTAAAATTTCTCTATAATCAGAAATGTTCCGTTACTATGGTTATGTTGGTTATGTGTAAAGTGTAATATCCTGATGAAAAAGTTTCTCTTAAAATGTGTAAGTGTGTTTCATGTCCCGTAAAACACGTTTCTGTTGCAATGTCTTAGTGGTGATGGTTATCTTGATAAAACATTTCTCTTATCAAATCTTAGTGTGTTATCCCGATAAAACTCGTTTCTCTTAGAAAGTCTTAGTGTGTTATCTCTCTTAGAAATTCTTAGTGTGTTATCCTAAAAATTCGTTTCTCTTGTAATGCCTTGTAATATTTTCTTCACATCAAATAAATCATTCTAAGTCTTTTCAAAGATGATAGTTGGCTAGTGCTATGTGATTTAACAATGATTTAAAGATGTATCAAATTATACATTGTAGATGTTGATAAAAAATAATGATGAAAGATAATCAAATAAGTTAAGAGTACTTTCATTAGCTACTTCATTTATTCTAGCTTAAGATAAGATGGTTTTTTATTTATGGATACGACATTTTTCTATAGCATTTACAAGTGCTGATATTTTCTATATTTAGTCGTTCAGTCATTGAAGTAATACTAAGAATGGCTCATTGTTGTAAATTTAATCGTGAAAACAGAACGTCTTTCATGTTAATTATAAAAATGCAAGCAGAATATGACTACATAACAAAATGAAATATCCACGGATATTACTTAGTTTTTGTTTTACTAAGGTTACTTCGACTTTAACATGAATTTACCTATATATATATATCCTAGTTAATTTGACAACAGTTTTAATACAGTTTTGTTTAAGTTATTCCTACATTGCAATTAGTTCAGCATAATTATGCTTTATACTTAAAGCAGTATCATTTTACTCTAAAAATCAAACACATTTTATATCGTTTTCAAATTAATTCATATTTATTCAAAGAGAAAGTTAGGCACTTCATGTCATTTAAGTTATATATTTTGTTTTATTGACGTATGACTTGAATACTAGTGGTGACCTATAGACATCAGACAGCTGAAACAATGTTTTCGTTTTAAGGAGAAATTTTTCCAAGTAATAAATCACTATAATACACAATGTTTGGAGAATAAAGTTTTATTATGATACAATGATGTATAAAAACCAGCATGGTTTCCTTATGTTTCTTTCAGCCAAACTTTTGTGATGATAACTGTAATGTCTCAAGACCATAATGTACTATTTTTGTTAAGTTATATTTTATACTTGTGTCTAGAAATTAATCCTGTATGTATAAATTATTACTTTATTGGAAGGATGATAGCCTATACTGCATAATCTGTTTGATCAATGTTAAATCCTATATGAACAATTATTAACTCTTAAACATTATTGAAATATACGACTATATGAAGCTTAAGCCGGTGCTAGGGGGGCGTGGACGGTAGCTTGAAAATACCACTACTGTCCATGAACAAGTTCAATCAAACCGAGCCTGCAACAATTTTAATTTAACCGTAGTGGACTTTCTTTAGGGATTCTGTTTTTCTCTTTACTGATACTCTAACTTATGAAAAATCATTTGAAAAGTTTCCCTTACTGACATAGTTTTGGAAATGCTTTACTGACATAGTTTTGGAAATGATTTACTGACATAAATTTGGAAATAGTCCAATTGAAGAAGAGGATATAATACGCTTCCGGCTTTTTCAGAATTTGTTAATCTCAAATTCTTCCTTTTGGTGACCTAGGTTTGGTAGAGGTCCAACCCGAAACAGCATATAAGCATAGTATCACCCCAGCTGAATGATTGTGTTGCTAGAACAGTAAGATTGATGGTTGCCGGCCTCTGATACTTGATAAGGAACGTGATACTGTTAGCGGTTATACAAATGAGAACCTATCACATTCAACGTGGGAACAAGTGGCCCATTAAATTATAAAACTGATATAGCTATTAAATATTGAAGCTGGATCGTATATGAACAGGGATTCAACAAGTACAGTTCAGATAAACACGCTGATCAACTATTTGATCATAACTGCTGACGTACAAATGATAAGGTAAAGATGTGTAGATTTTGTACCAAACCTTGCCCTACTCATTTCTGAAGATAGATCGTTCTATAATACATGCTATTTTATAGCCTGGCGTTATAATGTTATGCGTGAATTGCAGGCATCAGATAAAAGTACATTCAAGGGGATAATACATAGTCAATATTGACCACTACACTGACCTTAAAGTCGTAAAACTACTCAGTTAATGCAAAGAAATTTATGCCATTATATTCTAAAATATTAATGACGATAAAACAGCTATATTTCCATGAAAGTTGTTGTTTTTGTATCTTTTGTTCTAAAGCATTGCAATAAAAGAATGTGTTTTATGCAAGAATGAAATATATTTGTTACACTGTATTAAATATGTTAAAGCTATATTATTTGTATCTCTAAATTATTTCTAATACTGTTCTAATTTTATCAGCAGTTGTTTACATATAATATTACAATTATAAAGCATTTTTGGTTTGGCATTATATAATAGTTAATGTTTTATTCATAGATTATACAATAATAAATGGTCAATATCTGTACTTAATAAGAGAAATATAGATATAATAATCAGATAATATCGTATATAATAGCTATCAAAAAGGAAGAAATTATCTAAGGGTTTTCCATATTGAATCTGAAGTAAACTAACCATGTCACAGACAGATGAACAAAGCATAAAAGACCATGTAAAGGAATTATATCAAAAAGTGGAATAATGAGTAAAGTAAATAAAGGACGCATGAGGGTAAGGGATAAGGGTTATAAAAGATCTGCAATAATAAAGGTAAGAGAGAGAGATAAAGGTTGAATGAAGATTGTTTATAATACAGGTTATAAATAGCATATGTAAGCTTCTAAAAGCTGGCTTGGCCATTTCTTTTACTTTCCTGCTATAAATAACTTTATTTGAATACATTAATCTGTCACTTAAAATCAATGAAAAAATGGATATGAAATAACCAAAACCAAAGATAAAACCACACTCATGTCGTGCATAGTGAAACCAAATACATCATTCAAAACACCACAATCATAGAAATAATAAAATCTTAGATTTTTATATTACACAAAAAAATACAAACAGACGTTCTTACATTGAAAACTGAGTAAACATAAGAAAACATGAAATGATTAGAAAACAAAAAAAAATATAAATAAGAAACACGCTGTCTTGACTTTAAAAACTAAATAATAGTTTACAACGGAAAATAACATTGCATTACATAAATTGACAAAATGTAAGCAATGACTTTCGTTTATAAAACAAAAAAGGAAACTACATTTTTAACAACGTTTAACATAACATTGAATATACATACTGGCTTTATCGAAGCTTAATTCCATACATCTTGTTCCGTGATAACCAGGCTGGCACCTAGCGCAGATAGAGAGGAGATAGGTGAGCAAATATAGATGGTTCCCATTGTCACCAAAATATAATGTATACTCTCTGGGTAAAGCATCTAAATCTGAACTCTGGTCGGCATATATATTTGTAATATTTTGTTACAAAAATGTCAAAATAATAGCACTGCATTAAGTCTTCATGAATAATAAATATATATCCATATAAAATATGTTTGTTTTAAGTTCAAATAGAATTTTTATAAGTGTATATCTAAATTTTTAATAATCAAAAATTGAATTTCAAAATGCATTTTTAACTGTTCATGCAGTACATGCATTTGTTAGACAATGTCTACATGATTTTGTACTAACCTATTAGAGTTCAAATTGGGATGCGACATAGAGGCGTCTACAGAAGATTCCCAGTACCAAGAAACTGTAATTTCTGACAGTCATTGAACTATAACTACCAGCACATTACAGCAATATTGTTTTATAAGTAGCCAGTGTGTCATATTTGAGATAATTTGTAATGCTCTAATAGCTAATCATTTGGTATCTATATATTTGCGATATATATTTTATTGCGACGGGCATTAAATGGCATTAGTTCATGCAAGCTGCACTCTGGCTACCTTTTATAATGGTCATGCTAAATACAAGAGGGTTAGTAATAAGAAGAAACTATCCCATGGAAACTGCTTCCAGCACCTATTGTCGTCTCTAGAGAGAAATCTACAACAAGGGCAGGCAATTATTTGAAGCAACGACTTCTCAGCATTTATCAGTTATTAGCCACATTCTTACAAATTCATTTACATTCTATATGTTAAACAAATTTTCATTTATTTTCCGTGTGTTAAACAAATAAGGGTTATTTACATGCAAATTATTCAATTAGGTACATTATTTTCTTAATTAAAAAGTAAAGTTCTGTTATAGTGTTGATATTGTTATTGGCTCGTCAATTTGCTTTAATTACATGCCCATGCTGTAAAATTCTTTCTATGTTAGATAACTCATGCCCAAAATGTAGATTTTCGTACCAAGTGATCGCTTGACATCTATGGAGAAAACTTCGCACCGTTTACCTTTATACTCTCGTGGACATCTGTTAAACCAGCACCAAACATAATTATACACGTTATAGATTATATATAAGCAAAATCACAGCTTTAGTCAAATAAAGATATTATCAGTCTTTTGATAGGCTTTATACTTTTTCAACCATGCAAAGCTTTCAGTTTATTTTCTGCCACGTAAAAAATATGAACGTATTGCATTTACACAAAATGCTGAATAATTTTCAGGCATTCTTAGTTATATGTATTTAATTGACCAACATAAAATAAACAAGAAATCTTTCGAACTGAAGTAAAGCATACAAGAAATGTTTTACAATATGATTATTAAAAGCTATTAGACAAGATGACATAAATGTAATTTAAGATATTATTCATATCATTAATCTGATATCATCACTCAATCATTTTATATATAATAAAACAGGTGAAAAGTATAAAGCTTGTTCTGTTATTCTATGTTAAACAAAAAGCACGTAGCAAACAGGTAATTAATTATTTAAAACGACATGAAAATAGACTACATGACCACAAACCAAAGACCTACAAAACGCTTATATATCATATTATCATTATTTATTATAGATTCGAATCAGTAATTACCATAATCCTATGAAAAAAACTTGCAATATCTACGCCTTTTCATTAAAATCAAATTTCAAACAAGATTAAAGACAAATCTATAGACATTGCTACAATATCTACTAAAATATCTAAATGTGTGTTATCTAAAAGAAGGTAATGATGTTCTGCTGATAGATGAAACCTGTATTATATCACAAGAATTCCCACTAAAGTTCTGCAGACAAATTTATACCTGAACAAATAAATAATTGAAGATTTTAGCAGAACAGTTATATCTGTGATTTAAATATGTAACAGGTAGTGTCGTTATGCATGTAATTGCTAGTGTAATCAATGTACCGGCAGTCAGGTAGAAAGAGAGCATCAAAACTCCTGTGATTTCATCCTGGATAATCTATCAGCATATAAAGTTCATACAGTTTTACTCTATCAATCTTTGTAAAAATCTATCAATCTTTGAAAAATTAGGGGAGGTAATTTACAAATAAAAATCTGCAAAAATATTTGATTTTGTTTATCAGTTTATCCTTATCCGAGAAATTACTGAAACACTAGAACATGTTCAACAAGGCAGACAATTTACTGGAGTTTATTTATCTCTGAATAAAGGTGTCGACATTATATAACAATCTATAAATATCCCTGATATAAATCTTGTAGATATTATTTTAGTTAGAATATTATGTTTACTCTGAATTGTTGGATAAATTCACTTTTACAAAGCACATAACCTAAGGTTCTGATCAGTGCCTATATAAACATTGTTTTATGTGCTTAGGTAGAAAAACCGACCTTAGGTGGACCACATCAGTTGCTTCCGCTAAAGCATTAACAAAACATTAATTCGGACTCACAGAGGTGGAGAAGAAGTGAATTTTAAGTCACTTCCCTAAACTTATTGTCATTAAATAAGTTAAAAGTATAACAATGATTAATATAATATATAATATATATTATTTACCATAAATTAACGTAAAATGTATCAAATAATTTCTTGAAAATATTAAGTTTTAAAACTACTTTAAAATCTGTCTAAGGTCTACCTTAGTCTCTTTCTAGATTATATAACTAAGATGTTGTTGCCTCATTTGTTTAAAACGTTTCCAGGAGTAGTGCAATTTTTCACAAAGGCAAAGAATGGGAAAAAAACTTTGCATCATTAAAGAGAAATTAATTGAAAACATTGATGAAAACAACTGTAGGTCGTCATTTTACTTTTTTTCTTTGTAAATGTTTGAGCTCTTTTAAACCATTTTCGAGAGAAGATAATTCAAACCTGTGACTATTAATGCCTCATTTCATTTTGAATATATGTTATTTACTTTATTCTCTGTTATGGTTTAAAAGTTGTTGGAAGTAAATGCGAAAGATTTTATTCTATAGTTGCTTTTGCGAAATAATAGAACATTTTCTTTTTATCATTTTTTGAAAATTTCAGTATGTTGATTATTGAAGCACAACAAAATATCTTTATATAAATTAGGATACCGAATAAAAATAAATTACAAAAATAATAATTTATTATAAATATGGACGAAATATTTTACATTTTGATTTATCAGCTCCCGAAAGTGACCTAAAGGGTAAAAAGACTTATTTTTAGGAACAGGCAATTAAAACGTAGGATGGTGCCGCCAACTGTTTTCATTAATGTATTTTAATATTGATTCTTTTTAATCGTGCAACGTTTAGTCCTTCTTTCCATTTATAAAATATGCACTATTGCCAAAGAATTGTTGAAACAATACAAAGGAAAAGATGATCCCACAATATTTTCTAAATATGTGCACATTTGATATACACTGTATGTGTTTTAAATAATTACTTATTATGGTGAAGTAAAGGAATCTAATTATTCTATCTAAAGATACATACGTGCAAAATGTTTCATTAAGAGATACGTATTTTGAGCAATTGCCACCATTCAGGCAATAATTTTTATGTTCTGGACCACACGGGACTTCTTTTTTTGGCCCTGAAAAACAATAGTACAAATTACAACTTGACAAAAGACAACTAAATAAATCCTTATTTCAAAATTGAGGTACATTCTTTATCACTTCTTATATATATATTCAATAAGAACTATTTACTGATGCATACTTACGTCTCTTAATTATGGAGAAATGAAATCAGACCATTTGTTCAAATATAGGAACATTATTGGTGTAATATCTGACCATTATTATAGACATATCTGACCATCATTATAGAGATATCTGACCATTAATATAGAAATATCTGAACATTTTTCACAATGTTATAACTGTTAACATTTTGAAAACAGTTGTTTAACAAAAAATGTTTGACCATTTAAAAAGGTAAAACATGATTATGTAGTCGTCGTGTAAATTAGATGACAAAGACCTTCATACGATACAGTTTATGTAAATGTGTTATCAGCTCATACCATGTATGTAGGCAACTGTTTAACTTAAACATGTATATGAGAGACTTATTTGCATGTGGAGTAAAAAATCTCAATAAGTCAATAAGTAATGTTAAAATTTACAAAATATTGTTTTCACGATAATAAAATAATCAGATGATATTATGGTATTTGATAAATTCTAGTAAAGTGAAACAATCTAAAAAGAGGCACACTACTAGCAAATTACAAAATTTAGATAAAACCACAAAGCATATCCTCTGATATAATAGTCGATCTTTTTTTCTGAGACCACACAGCACAAAACAAAAATACCATTTCCTTTACGAATGTTTCTGTCATGAAATCTTGTACTGGATTAACACTTTTGTATTTGATAGAAAAATTTATATAAGTTATAAACACTGTGATGACGTGTCATAAATACTGAAATGACGTCATAAACACTATGATGACATGGATGCATTGTCAGTAATCGTCGAGTGCTTAGTTTATATTGAATACATTTAACTTAAACCTTTCAATATAGCTACGATATAATCATAGTACTATATGACTTATGTTACCAAGTTTGTTAACCGACACACAGATTGGTAACAACATTTTAAGATTTGCTTAAACAACAGAGCGCTGCATCCGGCTTTCAATTTCGTAGTGATCCGTTCATTGAGAAACTATAAAATTCTCATTATCTTAACATAACAAAATGTCTTTATTTTCTTGCACCTGTTCGCACTCTATACAATAAGCTGTTAACTTGTTAATCCATTGAAAATTAAAGGGTTTTATCTTTGTTTCTAATAGCAACAAATTTCCTTTTCTAAAGATAAGACCCAAAATAAGTACTGTTAAAACTGCTGATAAACATCTACATGCCGGCAGCTGCATATATCTTTTTTATTAAAGTGTATTTCCGATTATAAAAGAATAGAGAAGACACACCCTATGTTTATATTCATTAAAGAATACTCCAAGGAAGTTGTATTTACCATTAACAAAGATTCTCCGCAATGATATAAAAGCGGAAAGAAAGACAGAGCCCTAAATATTACCACCAGTTCTATATTAAAGACTTGTATATATTTAAAGAAAACTGTGTCAACTATAACACTCCAAATAAAATAAGAAAAAATCTATCCCCAGACTAGAAACTACTTTGTGCGACTCCATCATCATCACATCCTCAAAATACCATATAGCAAAAGCATTGATGAATTAAATATATACCATTTCATCATCCTTAAAACAGTTATACGCAACCACAGGCTTTCCTCAAGCATAAAATATATCCCGGGTAAATATACATATGTTTCAAGATTATCGAAATATTTCAGTAGAAAATAAAGGAATAATAATATTCAATTTAAAAAATTACATAAAGCCATTACCTTAGAAACAATTATCGAGGGGTACCATCATTATGTGTAATCCAAGCTTTATCTTAAAACGTGAAGCAAAGTGTATAGTTGTTTAGGCTATAAGCCGGGGTAAATTTCGCATGTTTGGAGATTATATTTTCAAACAAAATTGTAAATATGGGTTTAAAACAGGGTATTTGTCAGTGTCTAAGAAATAGCAATTAGATTTATAAAACAGGGTAGCACCACGCCTGTTATAATAGACGTATATTACACACTATTTGTCAGTGTCTAAGAATAGCATTAGATTTGGGATTTATAAACATCTACATGCCGGCAGCTGCATATATCTTTTTTATTAAAGTGTATTTCCGATTATAAAAGAATAGAGAAGACACACCCTATGATTATATTCATTAAAGAATACTCCAAGGAAGTTGTATTTACCATTAACAAAGATTCTCCGCAATGATATAAAAGCGGAAAGAAAGACAGAGCCCTAAATATTACCACCAGCTCTATATTAAAGACATGTATATATTTAAAGAAAACTGTGTCAACTATACACTCCAAAATAAAATAAGAAAAAATCTATCCCCAGACTAGAAACTACTTTGTGCGACTCCATCATCATCACATCCTCAAAATACCGTATAGCAAAAAGCATTGATGAATTAAATATATACCATTTCATCACCCTTAAAACAGTTATACGCAACCACAGGCTTTCCTCAAGCATAGAATATATCCCGGGTAAATATACATATGTTTCAAGATTATCGAAATATGTCAGTAGAAAATAAAGGAATAATAATATTCAATTTAAAAAATTACATAAAGTCATTACCTTAGAAACAATTATCGAGGGGTACCATCATTATGTGTAATTCAAGCTTTATCTTATAACGTGAAGCAAAGTGTATAGTTGTTTAGGCTATAAGCCGGGGTAAATTTCGCATGTTTGGAGATTATAATTTCAAACAAAATTGTAAATATGGGTTAAAACAGGGTATTTGTCAGTGTCTAAGAATAGCATTAGATTTAAACACATATGAATAACACGTGATTGTTTAATATTCTACACACGCCTGTTATAATAGACGATATTACACACTATGTTGTCACGCGCTATTTTCAACTACTGTTATTGTCCATTAGGTTTCTATAAGAGACATAATCGTGTTTTTGCTGTTGCGTTTAAAATAAAGGAATGATAAATGATTACTCAGCTTAGGTTATGGTAAAGATTAGTATTTACATGAAATTAGTATATATTCTAGGATAAATACAGTTGAGAGTGCGTCGCTTAGACAAAATAACACAAAAATGAAGCAAAATAGAAACGCACTAAAATGCGTCCTTACCTGATGTTACTAGTATCGGAACTAAATATAACAGAAAAATGCCATGTCAACATGCTTCAAATGGAAACTTAACTCTCGTAAAATGTTAATATCGAAACCGAAATTATTTCAAAGTCATATTGTTTTTATGTTACAAAATATATACACACAATGTCGCCTTCACAGTGTTACAAAATACATATACATAATTAACAAAAATGTTAATATATTAACTGAACTTTTTCAAATGCAACAATCAACAAACATATTGCAATACGAGCATTAATTTTAGTCGTATATAATTATACCTTTAGTACCTTCCGTTGCAAAAAGCAAATGATAAAATGTGATGAGACGTTGAAGTAGAACATCTAAGTAAACCTGACTCCTATATCAATGAGTGTGCGCATGCGTGCTTGCAGCACCATGACATATTTTAAAGCAAATCGTTTTGTATCTGGCCTATGAAGAATTTTATAAATACAAAAATATCACGTTTAAAAATATACTCTTCGTTAAATAAGGATATCATGAAACAGAAAACAAGATATAATCTAGCAAGTTCAGGACAACATTAGAAAAATGACTTTCCTCTGCTTTAATAACGTTTATATAAATAGTAATGTACTGTCTCTAATATCAGTCTAGTTATTGAATATGTAACATGAAACCGTCAATTTATTGTTTACAAGGTCAGCAATTAGATAGCACAAATAACTATTTAAAATGGTCACAATGTCAGAGAGTACAAAGTGTTAATCGCAGTATCGATTTATATCAGACATTTTGAGATAATATGCTTAAAACATTTTAATCTCAAAACAATAACCGAAGTTCCCTGTGTGAAATATGTTAAAAATCTTGCTGGCATTTTTCAGTTAGACTCTTTGCAGGTGGTCTTAACATACGGCGCACATGGCCTCCTGCAATGTTTGAGGCAGTGTAACGTTCATAGCATGTTAAAAAGGAACTAAGTTCGTTGTCAATTAAACAATAACACTAGCAATTACTTTTGTTATAAGTGTGCTACCCCACGAGGAAAACGAAAGTATTACAATAGAAGAAGATTTAAGATATAACGCTATTGGAATTGAAGGAAAAGTAATTTGTAATAGCAACCTTATAAATGAACATGGTACCCTTTTTGTTTAAAATTGTTGTATCATCATCGTTAAAATAGTTCTCATTCCGTGATTACCAATGTTCTTACCTTCTTTCCCCCCTTATATTGAAACATAATTAACTGATTATACATAATTGAATTTCCGTTTGTCTACATTAATTATGTGAGCATGCTGGGGAATGGGTATTATCGTCCATGGAATATCTATATTCTTAACATTCTTATCAACTAAATAGTTTGGACCATTTGGCATTTGATATGAAATTATCATTTGATGGGTTTCTAACTCACATACTTTATCTTTAAACTTAAACTTCAAAGAAATAATCAGTTATGATTTAATTCACCGTCCCTTATGTCCCGGATTGTTGAAACTCAAAATATACTATATTCTCTACGAAAATGGGATGCATATACATTGGTTTGATGTGTATTCTATGTATTAACCATTGTGATTAGAAACCTTCATAGATTTCGTGTTATTCATTTGTTCCAGGACGACATCTAGTTTTCAATTTAGTTATCTTAATTACATGTTTTGTGAAACATTACCACACAATATAACATTTGAAATGATAAGGGATTTGTTCTTGTCACCATATATATCAGTCATCTATTCTAATTCAGAAAAAGATAACCAATACAAATTTTCATACTTGTCTTGTAGTTTTTTTCACTTATAAGCGAGAAATGACGGTACAGCAAACAGCGCAGTGTCCACATTATGTACGTAAATTGAAACCACTGATCATATCAAATCTCACAGAAGGTCTAATTGGTATATTTAATCCCTAATTATCGGTCCATATTATTTTTTTTAACACCGAACAGTCAGGAGAGGTATGTCACACGAGACAATTTAAAACTCTACCTACTATAAAATATGATATGATCTAACTATGCAAAATTGACATTTAAAACAATTTTGCGTTCATGCGAAGGAAATAGGAAACATTAGAGATTAATTGAATAATCATTCGTGTCAGCTGGCAATCAATTCGTAATTCTATAAATGAAATTCTTCCTATACTAGACTAGAAAATGACCAGTCAAAGTGAATAAGGATTGCATTACAAAGATGTGGCACAGACAGTGTTTAACCTTTCAATGCTTTAGTACATCAAACTTTTTTATAACGCCATGATGATTTCGAAGAGTTTTACCCCTCTTTCTCAAGGAATTTGCTGTATATATAAATCTTTTTTACACTACGTTCATAAAAAATTAGCACAGCAAACTCCTGCATTAAGAGGGGTTTAACCTCTTAGAACGTTGGAGGTTGATTAACTTTGTGAAATAGATAGTTATTTATTACTTGTTTCCAGAGTAATTTCCACATGAACAATATTTAATGCATCATTTAAACATTTCTAATATATTAGAGCTAATCATATGAAATTTACCTTTCACAGACATGGCTTATTTAAACACTTGTTAATTAGGAAAGTGCAGAAAAATGTTGCAAATTTAAGATGCATATTTTTATGTTTATGTTATTTGCCAAATATACTGAGTTCATGTAAGCAAGCGCGTTAAAGAACAAAATAACGACACGTGCATTCTGATAAATGAAAACATACGATTAGTGAAGATGAACTTGATTATTATAATGATATGATATGAATATCTACAATCATTTTTATTCTATATAACACAGTGACTATACGTACCATCAATGACAGTAACGTTAGATTTCTGGATTGTTGTCCCGCTTGACGTCCTCACAATACATGTATATACACCTTCATCTGACAGCAGAGTTTTGGTTATTTTTAATTTTGATTCGTCACTAAAATCAAAACAAAATCGTTAAGATAATGATTGATAAGCATGTTTTGTATGTTTTGTACTAATTATCAATTTAGACAGAATAAGTGACAATAATAGAAACATGTGTGTTATTCATTTTTTCAGTTATTCTATCTATATAAACAGTAACACGAAACGTCTCTATAAACATGAAAATAAAACATTTATATGAACAATAAAGACTTTTCATAATTCATTTATTAGTATTTACCACTCAAACTGATTCATGTTCGGTGAATATACAGTTATTTACTCCTGATGACATGACAAATTAACAAGTTGTATCAAGTCTATCAGATAAGCTCGACATGTAACCTCGGCTGTTCTAAGGTCATTTCCTAAAATAAAGTGCTAGAACGGTTATTAAACAATTTTCCCGACGCCGATGCCGACATACTTCAGTATTTTGAGAAAGTATCCGATATACCAAACAAAATGGTTTGAAACAAAATTAACAAAGAAGATAACAATGGCTACTGTACTCTTTATAACGGATAGTTAATCCCTCCATATCACCAGTTTTTATTTCTTTCTCTCCTTTTTTCCAAGTAAATTTGGCGGGTTGATTTGAATTGGATTTAACTTTACAAGTCAATCTTAAAGTTTCTCCAAACTTTTGTTCTTTATCTTGCATTCCACGAGAACCTGGCTCCGGCATAGTTGTAGAGCCTGAAATGTGTTGTATATTTGTAGAGTGAAAATGATAACTATAACACGTGCGTTGTATGCGTATAGAGCCTAAAATGATAATAATAACACATGTTTTGTATGTTTGTAGAGCCTGAAATGATACGTGTTTTGTATGTTTGTATAGCCTGAAATGATCAGTATAACACTAGTGTTGTATACTCAACTTCAAATAAATGATTTAATACTGCACTTATTTAATTAACTATCATGAACCGCACTCAGGAATGAAATGCTTAATTGAAAATATATAATTGGTGTAATAATTTTGTTAAACAGTTTTCATCAATTGATATTTGCAGTACATGCACACAGTTTACGCGAGGTAGCCAATATAATTAATGGTATATAAAGTTATTGCCTATTTGTATAAATCATATTTATTAAACCTACCATCTTGTACTTTTATCACAGCTGCTTGTTGTACATCTCCTCCAACATTTCTAGCTATACATACATAATTGCCCGAATCTCCAGGAGAAGCTTTCCGGACAGACAGGCGAGATCCTTTCCTACAATATTACACCAGTACTAATTATCAAAATCACATGATGAATAAAATATATCATATGCATAACACGTGTTTGGCAATTCTGAAAAAATGATTATATAATTTAAATCTACTTTACCGGGTAGTTTGATATATTGTACATTCTGTATTAGATAAAGTTTCTGGTTCACTTACATGCCACATATTGGCAACATTTGACAAGAAACGCCCTGCTTACGGCATGCTTTTCAAGATGATAATTTGCAACAAATCTAATCACGCTTCATATATCAATGCGCGGAAATTTTAAAATACTTGAAGTGCCACGTGCTGGGGCAAAGCCTGTGATAAGACCGCGCCAGATTTAAAAGTGTCGACTCAACGGTTTTTCTGGTAAATTCTGTATGCTGCTGTATAACAATCGATAATTGTTGTGTAAAACGTGATTGGGAAAGGAACAGAGAGATAATGTTTTATACTAGTATATTATATATGACAATATTAGAGAATAACCACACATGATACAATAAATTACTGTAAATCACGTGACTTTGTTACCATTATCTGTGCAATTTTATAATATCTTAAATGAATGATAGAAGTTATAATTGGGAATCTGATAAATTTTAATTACAGACTCCATAACTATAAATTTCATTAAATCATGATAATATAAAATCACCATCTTATATTTGTTATTCGAAAATCTATTCAGATGTTTTTCAATAGTATTTTATTCGTACTGATTATTATTCTTTTAATTTGGACAAGACCATGCGGTCAACAAACTGATTTGAAACATAACATTTCCCTTCATAACATTTCCTACATATAAAACTACGTATTGATGTATAATGTAAATGGAAATATTTGAAAATTGACATGCTAACGAAAGATATTAAAGCATAGACAATGTAACGACAAGTTCAGCATTTGAAAAAGGTTGATGCCACTCAAAGGTGTTTATTCTTCCTACATTGAAATATAGATATAGTCATTCCTCAATAAATACAAACATGTCATTTCTATATCCAGTCAAACAATCCGTGCCAATTAAAAAACGTTATCTTTAATAATAAATGATTTTGTTTTGTTTGTATTATAATCGAAGTAAAGTCAACTTACTTTGTGGTTCTTATTCGGAATCTCTTCTTAGATAAAGTGTTGATATCCTTCCCGTCCTTCAACCATGTAAATACTGCATTTGGTAATGGTTTTCTTTTTAATCTACAGTTTAATTCTAATTTTTTCCCAGCTTCAATTGTCTGATCCCTCATTTTCTTTCGAGGATCAAATTCCGGTATTTTAACTGAAAAAAGACGATCACAAATTAAAAAAAAAAGACAAAAAAAATAATAAAAAAGAATTAGAAGAAGAATATTTATATTTATTAGTATTTGTATTTATTATACGTATATATATCCCATATCCCGGATTTAATGAAACCTATATATCTATATATATTGTATATTAATAAGACGTTTGCTATCTGATAAAACACAGACATATATTTTTTTTCAATGTTGTTATTCTTTCTACTATTTTCTTCGTTTTCTACTTATTTCCTGTAATCACAATTAAAATATATCAATGTTTAAACAAGTTTAATATCGTATTTCAAGAATATAAGAGCACATTAAGAGGTTGAAACATTGTATGTATCTTTCTTATTGTTTATTAAGATAACATAGAAATGTTAAATCAGAAAATTAGTGAAATTACCATAGAAATAGGGGGAATTAAAACCATTTGCATACATATTGCTATTGATTACACGTTTTTAAAGACTATATATCGACCTACAGTTTTTCCGAATAATTATAATGATGCATTTTTATTTATTGTCACATTCGACAACCCGTGGATATTTGACAGATACACAGCTAAACAGGCGCTTAAAGTAAACATTAGTACATTAAATACTTTAGTATGGATTTCTCCCGCCGTTTTTCAACTCGTATATCTTATTGACTGGGCCTTTCTCCTAGGACAGAAGTAAAACAAAATATACTAGTTATCAAGGTGTGTAGCACATGTCACTTCTCAATATATAGTCTATTGTATGATATTGAATAGCTTTGATGGATAATTTCTAGAAATATAATATGTCTGCCATTCAATGAGATACCACATTAATTGCTATTATGTGTTAACACCTACATACAATTACAAATGTGTACACATATTAATTTATTGTGGTAATAACACCTTTGGAGAATTTACAGTGAAATACAAGATATATTTTAACACACAATAAGGCCCCTGTACTTGTCAGATATTGATGTATTCAATCACTATATATTCGCATATAGCATTTCTAATTATGTCAGATAGTTTAAATAATATGCTATTGAATATTAGAGAGTTAGATAAAATAATGTCCTAATAAAATCATGTTTTCTTACTTCATGTTTTTTTTTATTATTGCTTATGATCAATATGGAGAAGATTAACAAAATCGTAAATTATTTTTCATAAAAAATCAAACCTTCTACAATAACGGCTGTTTAGATTACATATTATGTTGGTATATTTAACGGATTAGTTTTTGTTTTATTTACAAAATGTTTAAATACTGGACTAAATCAATAAAACTGTTAGTCATCAGTGGCTGTGTTTTTATTTTGTTGTTACTATTGTAACGTGGGAACAACATTTACATACTTTTCTTTTATTGTAATTTATTATATGATATTGTTTATTTAATATCAAAGCTAAGGCTTTTGATCGTTTGTGTTGGACATCGTTTACACGATAACATTTAAAGATTATCAGTCGTGTTAACAAAAGTCTATCGCGTTTCTAACACAGTGGTTATCTTTCAGTCAACAAATCTAACGAGCCGAAAAATTGACAAATCTCAATTTTACGACATAACACCTGAGTGTCATCATTAATGAATGAAAATAGCTTAAAATGTTTCCGCCTACGCGAGTTTTTCCTTAAACCCCATTGCGCATAATCGTGCGCTATTGCGCTTGTCCGTCATTCAAGTAACGTAAATCGATCTGAATGATTTAACATACCTTAAATTCCTGCATTTATAATGTACTTACATTATTATTTATTGTATTAATGTATTGTGGATTTAGTCTATAAATACCTTAATGTTAATAGATGATCTTATCATTTATAAAGTTAAATAATAACGCATCATTCTGTATGGTATACCTTGTGACATGACTAACGTCTACATTATGATCTAACAGTTTTATATCCATTCATAGTAAGGAACAATTCGGTCGTAGTTTAAAACCGCACAAACTTGTGGTTTGTCATTAATGCACACAGTCAAATCTTACTGTAAATGTTTAAAGTTCATTCATGAAAATAAAGATTAATGGATAGAAACAAACTGCAACTTTGACTATAAAGACGAATTAAATGTTGCAGTTTATGTACTTTATGGATGTGAATAATCCACCTGTATTTCTGAAACTAAAATATGTAGATCTTTATGCAACAGGTACATCTCGTATAGTCATGAACGTTCAGCCTAACAGACTTCTTACTTATTAAAGAAAACATAATTAATATGTGTTCTCTGATCTGTTTGAATAGACCATACATATAAGAAAGATATTATGTCAAGTAATGTTTCTATAAACAGTAATCAGACAAACACAAAACATAATTGGCTATCAAATGATAAATTAGCATGAATATGGAGACTTGCTGTTTTAAATAAAATACAATTTAGTGTCGACAGAACAGAACTGTACTGCCTTTGAATAATTTGAATAAAAACTTGCCTCTTTCTAAAATCGAACCAAACCTTACACCGTTAACTAGCACTTTAGATACCCCTATATATTCCTTTAAAATTCCTATATATCACTGTAAATAACCTTAAATCACCTTAACACCACTTTACATACCCTTATATAGGTATGCATATCCGTATATATAACTTTGCATACCCTTATATATCACTAAGAATACTCTTATATCAGTTTAAATATTCTAATATATCACCTTTAATATCCTTCACTGTAACTTCAATATCACAACAAAATATAATGATGCTTTAGTGGGATTGTCCCATATCTTCATAAAAGATCACTTGTTTCTTTCGGATGCTTTTCTATTCTGACAGATATATCAAATCAAAATATCTGAAATATTTGGGCTGTAATATACACGGAAATTTATTTTGAAAAGATAGCTATTTTCTACACGTATATAAATTTCATGCTTATTTGACTTTGAAAATACTTGGGTAACATTTTAGGATTTTGTATTTTTTATGTAAATGACGCCCATTTATATTATAATTAAATTTTGATACATTATTTGTAAATTTACCAATCATATATTGTTATATAGTCAACCTTGACTATATTTTCTCTATATAATTAGTAGAAAAGAAAAAATGGTTTGTGTCACGTGATTATAATAGTATGCCCTATTGTTACAACTAGTACAATCATTTTCAATATTTTCCAAAATGAATATACAAACAAAACTTGTCGAAATGAACGAGTATTTTTTTAAAATAATGTTTGAATGTAAAGTAGAGATATCAGTAAAGTTTCATTTAGGAAGACATGACACTTTAGTTCACATATAACATTTCTACATCAAACACTACAATATCATTACATGTGTGTGTTTATCAAATGCAATATTCATACAGTTATATTACCTTTTGATGACATATTTATCAAAGCCATGTGTGCAATCTCTAAACCTAACGTTCTAGTCCTTCTTTATTATTACACAACTGTCTTTTAAATAAAAATACAAGTATGTTTCAGTAGATGAACTTATAATACTGTATGTGATTATAGAAAAGTATTTAAACCTATAGAAAATGCAACATCTTAAGAGATAACAGATTTAGCAAATGACTAATATATACAGCTATTATTGTTGTTGTCCAGCTTAACCCGATGTGAAACTGTTTACCCGAAAAAATAAGTGCACTTAGTAAATACTTAGTCACACGTAATTCAACAATTAATATTAAAACACCCTTAGAGTGGCCAACCATTGTAAAAGAACTGTTGTCTCTGATTTCTAATGGGCACTTAACGGCCGGGGTCTTTACACTTTATTACCCTATGACCGTTGAGAGCTGTATCCACAAGGCACTAGTTGGAAAACAAGAGTAGGTATACCTGTACTTGTGTAGGTGTGTAAAATGTACGTATATTCATTGTTACATGGCTTACATGACTGATTTCTATTCTTAAAGCGAGGCAAAACGCAAGAAAAAACTAAAAAAGACATTTAAGTTGATGAATTTATTCTTTACGGATGAATATGAATTAAACGAAGTTTAATCATCTTTATATTACATGAGAAAGATGTGTAAATTTCACATTTTATTTTTTCAATTAATGAATAAGTAGCTTAGATGTTGCCGCTCCTAGGTTGGACAATGAGATTTTGATACAAGCGGATTGCTTTAAAATCTGTATTTAATCAGTGCATATCACTCGGACTGACGCGGTACATGACATACTGTTTGATCTTGAAATAATCCTTTAACTTAGTAAACGTTTGTTGGTTTACTGTATAGAGTTTGTTAAATTAAGCCGAAAGAAGGAATACAACAAGAGCTGTCCGTAAGACAGCGCGCTCGACTTTTTTATTGCTTGCCAATAAAAAAAGTTTTTGCAGTAAAAGGCAATACAAGAATCTCTGTATTTTTAAAGTGAACAATGGCCATGAGCATTAAGATATTTAGTGAAGAATTATTTTACTGAATTGTGTGATACCCTTGAACACTGCAGGTTCAGTGGATAGGAATGATTTTTTTTTAGATTTTTTAAGTTTTTTAGTGCTTGCCTATAATACAAAACATTGACAGTTAAGGGCCATAATTCAAATAAAATCTTTGACAGAATTACCTTCTCCTGGACATGTTTGGGAATCATGATTGTAAACAAGTATTCCAACTTTCAAATTAATATCTCAAACAGTTCAGTCAAAAAGTGGACTGGTACTAAAAACTTAACCAAGATTCTAAGTCGATAAAAGGCCTTAATTTTTAAAACAAATCCTTGACAGAGTTACCTTCTCTTGCGTACAGATGGGGGTAATGATGTGAAATAGCATTAAAAGTTTCAAAGCAATATCTCAAAGGGTTAAGGCAATAAGTGGATTTTACCCATATTCAATGTATTTTCTAAGTCAAAAAGGGGCATAATTCTGTCAAAAACCTTGACAGAGTTATGTCCTCTTGTCTGTTGATGAAGGTCGTGATGGTAAACAAGTATGGTCAGTTTCAAAGCAATACCTCCAATGGTTTTGAAATAAAGTGAGGTGGTACAAAAACTTACCAAGCTCAATACACTTTCTAAG